CAGTGCCCAGGTTAATACAACTGTATTTCTCCACTCTTGGGAAGATATTCGTGCCTGCCATTTTGTGATGGTTTTATTTCAAGAAGTACTGTAAATCGTAGTTCCTTGGTGGCAAATAGATTTACACTTCTTTCACAACAAAGCATTAAGTGTTGCTTTTCAAATAATGGTGTTGAATTGGAAGTAACATGCACAGTGTGCAGAAGAGTTTCAAGAAAAAGGCAAGTAGGAAAATTGAGTCCTACTTTACTGAGTATGTAATCCTGCAGGAATATGTCTGGGGTTTGAATTTATGGGTCCTTGTCTTTTCTCTCCCACTAGAAGGGAGAACTCCATCACTCTTGGGTGTGTTGTTTATAATTTCATAAAGGTGTTCTGTGACAGGACTTATTTTACCCGGCATACTTAATCTTTCTCAAATAGTGGTGCACCAAAGAGCAATGTGTCAAAAAAAATTTGCAATTGGGAAAAGGAAGATTCAGCACCTGCCATTTTGTGTGGAACAAAGGAGCAAAGGTTATGGATCTGATACATAAATTAGGGCTTTGGGCAATTGAAAGACTGGACAGGAATGGAATCATCCTGAGCAGGTCTTGCCACACCATCCCAAATTTCTTTGCACTTTACATCCCACACCAGTATGTACAGTGTAATGAACAAAGATGTAGAACCATCACCGTGGCGAGATTGAAGAGGCCCTTAGAGTGAATAATTAGGAGGAGGTGATTACAAAACTAATAATTCATAGAAAGGAATGAGGAGCCAATTCAGTGAAATTGAAAGAATTTGAAGGTAAATATGCCCATAAATCCTCCAGGGTGGACTCAGAGTTTAGCACTTTCTCCTAGCCTGGTTTTATTCCAAGGCAATTTCATTAAACACTAGAGAGAAGGAGAGAAAAAATAATAATATAAATGCCATAAAAAATCTTTCAGAGGAAGGAATAAAAAGGGTTCCTGCCAGAGAGAGATTTTATTGAAAGTTATTATAATACCTATCTTTAGTTTTATGGCCTTTAATACAGGCCAAGTAATTTCAAAGCTGGGATTCTTTAAAAATGAAATACATATTTTAAAATAGTATAGTGTGACTTATTATTTTTAATATAGAATTTAGCTAATATAGGGAAGAGAAAAATATTTTCTCTCTCATGTTCTTTCCAATGAAAACACAAACATCCCTTCCATCATAGCATATGGAGAAGTTTCATTACTATCCTGTTGCCTGTATATAAGAATGTCTGGCATTTACTATCCCTAGATCACTGGGCAGACACTAATGAATGAATCCATTTACATCTCCTGGGGCCAGTGGGTGAGTGTAATCAGCCCCATTTCAAAAATGGAGAGAGGGAACTAGAAATGGAATAGTGGTTTTCTTACTGCCTCACAGTGAACTGATTCTGACGAGAAGAAATTATGTTAGTGGAGATTTCTAGGGTCGCTGCTCGCTAGTCTCTTCTGTCTTGTGGAAGCAGCAAGTTTAAGAATCATCCAGTGAAAATTCTCAGCTCCATGAGGGCTTTGAAAAGTACAGATTCCAGTTATAAGAAGTAATGGTCTTCTGGATGTTTCCTTGGCTGTTTCTGTGGTCAGGAATTTGCTGCTCTTTCTCACTGAAATAGCTTTATTCCTCTGGGATGATTCAGATGTTAGTATCTGAGTGGAAGGTACATGGAAAACCAATATGTGGTGGGACTAGAAAATCAGTTTGTGATGAATTGTGATGGAAAGTACTGAGATTAAAAATACAAGATAGGAAATGGCAGGACAGATTAGTGTACTTATCTTTTTTGTGGTTTCTAGAGATCTTGTTAATGACCTTGACTTAAGTCTAACACCACTTCTGGAGGTTTTTTTGCTTTTTCTTGCCCTCGTTTTTATACATAGAAAATCAGCAGCATGGGGGTTTTATAGCAGGGAATCCTGTACACATATCTAAAAACGCAGCATAGATATGTCACGTGCTGCCGTAAACTGGGAAATTGGTCAAGAAGAGAAGCAAGCGCCAGGCTTCATGATTTTTCAGGTTCTGACACAGGGACTTCCCAAACTAGGGTAATTATTATCTCTGGGTAGATGTTTTTATCTTTAAATTGTCTGATCACTTTCAAAATGTGTCTAAACCTTTACTACCTACCAGTATCCTGTTGCAAGGAGTTACCCAGTTTAAAGAAAGAAACCCAAACCACCAACATTGTTTAAGGAAATATGACCTGTTTGTTTTCTGGGCGTGCTACCTTTCTGGATTCATAGGATATCCTAATAAGCAAGAGGGAAAAGGAGAGTTATAAAAGAACTCCTTATTTTTCACAAATACTGAATTCCATTGCCAGTTCAATTGGATTTGATTCCAAGTTAATGTTGCATGAAGCCCTTAGATCTGGGCAAGTAAGTGGGTAATTGAATAGGTATAGCAACTGATAAGTGACAACCACACATTGTTATAATTTTTATGTTTATTTCCTACTGGAGCAAATTATCACTTTTTTTCTATGAGAAGTGTGAATTGTCAGATTTTCAACTAAGAGCAAAATCCACATGCTCTAAATTTAATCTGGAAGTCAAAAACAATTGCCAGGGTCTTAGCACTGTCCAAGCAAGGTCTTCTAGTAGTGATGGATAATTTATTCTTTATTGACAGTGCTATCCTTAACTATAGACAACTACAGTATAAGTCTCCAGTTTCACTAACTACATTTCACCTGCTTAAAAAAAATTCTTGCAGTGTATTTTTGTTGACTAAATTGTGCTAAATTACTTTACATTGGTGCAATTAAAAACTAACATCTTTCTACCTGGGGACAACTGCATTTCATTATTGGAGGATGTGATCACTGTGTAAGTTATAAAGTTTATTGGGATAAATAATACTTTCTAAAATATATGCGACAGAGCCGGAAGAATTGGAAAAAGTCAATTTCTATTTGTGCATTCCTCCTTTCTTGTCCTTTCACTGAGCAGATGAAATTCTAAAGCCAGCTTATTTTGAGAGCAATCACTGGGATTTCAACAGAGTTCTCCCACTTCCTATGACTGAAAGAAGATGGTAAAAAAATGACCTTGACATGTAAGGCAGGAAATTGCTTTGTACATATTACCTCCAGTTCCTTTTAATCTTGACTCCCCATTGAGTCAAGATTATAAAAGTATTTAATGAAAGTATTTAAGCATGAAACTACTGCAAGATTGCATCCTACAAAACATTGCCAAATGACAATGCTGGGTATGACTGAGTAACACATACAATAGGGATTCCCTTACTTCACGGATGGTATTTCACAGATACTCTATTTTTATAATTTTTATTTAGAGCTGACTGATCCTGTTTTTCTTGCCTGGCTCAAACTAAGCCACTGAAACCAAGACTGAAGAAATGTTAGGTTCAATCTGATCTTTCTGTCTGACTTCTTGGTTCTGTACGTTTTCCCCTTAGCTCAAATATGAACAGAGAGGGGGAGAGCAAAGAACTTCTGGTGGGGGTCAGAGGTACTTCATAGCACTAGGAGCACAGGAAGCTAAAGAAAAGGCTGAGGCCTCAGAACTCTTATGTAAAGGCAAGAGGGAACATTTTGGAAATAGCCATAGCAGACACAAAAATGTAAAGGACACCTTATTCAAAGTTGGAGAATCTTTTTCAGGAATAAGGAGTTGAAAGTCTTGTCATGGTGTGAGATTCCCAGGAATATTCACCTGGAGTACTGAAGTACAGTGTACCGAAGTACAGCTGCCCTGCTCCTGAGGACCTTAGATTTCAGCAATGTTCCCTGCCTGGTGAAGAACATTTCTGTTGTTTTGTTTCAGGAGTCATCCCACTGATCCTACTGCTTAGCAGAATAGGCAGCTCTCAGCAAGGAAAAGTTGTTAAGGGAGACAGTTTCAGCAGAAGCCACAGTTTGAGCCAATGCTGCTGAGCTGGGGTAATTTTGTATTGTGTGCAGGAACATTACAACCTGCATCCAGAGGCTGCCACAGACTGTCCCTGATGGTCTGCATTACTAATTCAACTAATTGCAGCAATTACAGGCAGGAGATGCTGCTGGGAAGAGACATCAGTACACTTCTAACATGCTGCAGTACATGCTGCTCATTAATTAGACCAGCACACACACATAAAGAAACACACAAAAAAAAATAAAAAAAAGGCAGCAGCAGCTGGAAATGCAAAGGAATGAGCTGAAACATGTAAGGGCTGTGAACAATCACAGTCTGGTTTAAGCCTTTCAGAACCAGAATTTCCAGCTGGTTAGCCTAGTTACAGCCACATCACTGTCCGACTGGTAAGCGCAGCTGAGGTTTCCTGTTGGGCATACCTGACACATGCAGCAGTTCTTCATCATGCAGCAAATGGGTTGCACAGATATTTACTGTCTGGGTAAATACCAGATTCCCAACTCAAGAGGTGCATTATCAGAGCAGGAACTACCTGCTTAGCCCCAGAGTGATGCATCAGACGCAGCAAAGCGTACTGCTAGCTGCCTGAGTGATGCATATTATCTGGGTCTACCTTGTACATTTTTCTTTGCAGAAAGCATGTTCAGGCTGAATGTGCCTCATATGTAAGTGTCTCAGTAAGTGCCTTCTGGCTGACCTTACATGATATTGGTATTTATTGAGGAGCCCAGTGTGTTCCAACCAGACACATCTACTGTGGCAGTTGGAGGATGGTTTGCCAGCCAAGCAGGCATCACAGTCTACTGTACTTTGTTCCACAGCATCAGTGTGATCAGTCTGCTGTCCTCAACAGGTCAACAGGTACACAGCACCTGTGCATAGCTGAAATATTCAACAGCACAGGATAAACACTGTTCCTACAGGAGACTCCAACCCAATGGAGGGCACATTTACACAGACATATCTGGAGTGCTTGGTACAACTTAAATATTTTGAAAGTTACAATTCTGATTTTTTTTCTAGGATACTTACCCACCTCTGTAACAGCCTCTTGATTTGCAAGTATCTTACTAGTTTTTTTCTTTGTTCCTTTGCTTCACACACCAGACAACAGATGACATCGTTTCATCGGCTGAATGTTCCAGTGACGATGAAGATTTCATTGACTGTGAGCCTAGTACAGGTAAGTCAGGTCAGTCTTGTTTTGCTTGCTTTCTGATTTCATTTGCAAAAAACAATGCATACATATATTTATATGTGTGAATGTATACATATAAAATTATATATGTATATATATGTGTGTATATGTGTATATATATATATACACCCTTATGTATATATACACTGTATCTAAAATAAAAATTATACAGCCAAGCATCAGATCCCATGGACTTGGCGACAGGAAAACACAGATATGTAGTCACTATTTGGTTTATATAAAGTCGTTCACACCAAAAGGCAAACTTCTTGAGAGTGATCTCAGCTAATTCATGGTTCACATGCTTGTAGATGTTACTTTACTGACGTGATGAGAAAGCAGAATATCAATGTGGAATGTCACAAATAATATTTATGAAGTGGGGAGGGTGAATATTTGAAAGACAGAAGAAAAATAAGTGAAACAAAAATGGGTTATTAGCATTGTTTAATATTTCTTAATTGCTCTGAAGATGGACATTAAAGAATACATTTGTCCATGGGATTTTGAATACAGTTAACATGGTAATGTGTTTATACTAATTTTGTTTCCTGTGAGCCCAAAGAAATTGGGGAACATCAAAACATAGTTCCAACATAACAAAATTAGTAGTAATTCTTGCCTTGTTATCTGCAGTGATGCTTCAAAATGTATCCATTAAAGAGTCAGAAGGCCTGGCCATGTGGAACTGACTCAACTTCTCCCTTTCAGATACATTTTGATAAATTGATGGCTTTTCTTTCTGGTGAGATATATGATGTGATATCCAGCAGGCAACTGCAGTCTATTTTATTTCTTACAGGCTTTTTCAAGTCTTCTTTTTTGAGGCTTGCCATGAGTTAAGCATTTCTATAATAGAGAACAGACATCATCGAATTTCTGTGTACATTTAAAAGAAAAAGAGGGAGTTTGGTTAGAACTTTTTGTCCTTAAAAGTGAAACATATAAATAGTTTAGGGGGTTTCTTTTGTTTGGCTTTGTTTTGTTTGTTTTTGCTTTGGTTTATTTGGGATGGGGTTTTTTCCTTTAAAAAATCCCAAGAAAGTATTAGAAATGTTCTGTTTCTAGTTTTCTGAAGCCATTTAAGTAATACAATAATAACATTAAAATTCACCCAAGGCTAGTGCTTTCATATTTCTTTTCAATTCGTCATGCTGTACCTGCATTTTTTGTAGAACTTGCTCCTGCAGTAACCTGGGATTGGCATTACCTTGTAGCTGGGAACTTCCACCTGTACTCTTGACTTCTTTGTGATGGCAGGGAAGGCAGTCACACATTGACTGATGCTAATAGATAGCTCAGCCTAATTCCCATGTCTTTTTTCGCACAGATTTCTATGAGGTTTTCAACTCCCCCATCTGGCAGAAAAGCAATCCAAATAATACTAAATTGCAAAGTATAAACAGAGTGGCCACTGGGATTTTAAATAAAGGTAGTAATGAAATGCCAGCACAGGGATTATAATGAAAGTGAGGCATGAGGTTAATAGGACCATCCTAAAAGGACTGATGTACCACAACTGATGTGCAAGTGAATTGGATAGAAATCATTTAATTAAAGTTTCACTAGCATGTCAAGATTTCTTTTTTATTTATATTCTGATTACCAAGTATTTTAATTAAAGGACAAAATGAGGTCTTTATCAGACTCATCCACTTGTACATTATTGTCATTTCTGTTTCAGAAATCGCAGCTTGTGCTGCTAGTGGAAAAATCAAAGTTTGAGGAGAAATTTGGTAAAACAGGATGTTTAGCATGAAATTTCAGAGTGCTGTAGAGCAACATTTCCAGACTAAAAATACCTCCTTCCTGACACAGTTAGAAATCTAATGCTACAAACAGGTACAAACTGGATTTGTAAAAATGACTTGCCTTTGAAAATCCTGCTAAGCATTACAGTTGGCAGCTATAAGTGCCTACAGACATTTGAATATCTACTGTGTAAAAATAATATGATTTGCTGAAAATCTGCTAAAGGTTCTCTCCTAACTACTAGACATTCTTGCAAATTTCACCCAATATCTTTAATTGCACCCTACTCCTTTTGCATAGGAAGGTGGACTGCATGAGCCACTGAAAGCTTAATCTTTTCTTGGGAATTACTATGGCATTGAGAATAAAAGTTAACTTGATTATATGTAAAAATATGTCTCCCAGATGGTTCTTTCTGCTGAAATCTGCACTTCCAGATTTTGAGTTTTCCTGCTCTCAGAGGCACTGGTGTTCAGTGTTGCCAGAAGGAGGAATATGCAGGTCCTTTTTGCATAAACTTAACTCATTCCATTGTAATAAGAAGGAAAAGTAGCAGGTTTATGGTGCTTCTCATTTTCTTTATCTATCTTATTATCTTCATTCCCAGTGCATCTAGTGTCTGCAATACAGCCAGTATAAAAGCAGTGATGCAGCCCATTCTGCTCTGGAGAACTTAGACAGTCTGAGCCAGCTTATCAAAATCCAGTGGTGCTGGCTTGGCTGAGCAGATATGTTTGCCTTTACACTTCACCAGCCAAGTCAGGATTCTGGCCACATGCCAAGATCTGGTATTTAAATATATACGTTGTGGAAAGAAAAGATCCAGATTATCTTGCTTGTATTTTCTAGCATGTGGGCTTGGATTTTTTAAACCTAATGTTATGGGTTGTGAGGTTTTTTTATTGGGCTCATTTGAAGTTGCTTCATCCTGTTCTGTTGACAGGTTACTGCCTTCTGGCTTGCCTGATCCCTTTTACAGCAAACTGAAAATTAAATGACCTAACCCAGCACAGTCTCCTTTTTTGTTCCTCTGATAATGTGTAGCTTTTAAAGCTCTTGAGTTTCTGCCAAACGCCAGGACTTGGCCTTCCATCACCCTAGTGCTATGGTCCAGTAGTGCAAAGGTTACTGAACTCACTGCTGCCGCTGTGAGATATGATACATATCACTGTGAACCTGCTGTGCAATAGCCAAGACAAGGGCAACAGAGAATGTTGCCCTGAAAATCAGAAGTTTTCAGATTTCATATGGGTCAAAATCAAATCCTAATATCTAAACATATTACTTTGGTCTTGGTCCTGAATCAGAGGCAGTACTCTACAGAGTCCTTTTAAAGCCTTTGTTCTTGGTGTACTCAAGGGCTGAAAATCATGTCTTCTTTGAGGCTAAATTACATGAGAACCATTCGGCAAGGTCTTATTGCCTCCTAACTCTGATTCACCATTAAAACCAAGATCTGAATTTTGTAAACATATGATCTGCATCTGAACACTTGCATGTCTTTAAAAGAAGATGGTGTGAAGGCGAATTCCTCACCCTGCTCCCTTCAGGATTTTTCAGGATGGCTTGAGACACTCACTGTAGCAGACTGGCTACAGGGTCCTGAGTCTGTGCTTTTGAACACAGCTCTGTGGTGGCGTTTTTGGTCTCTCAGCCACTCTCAGAGAATAAACGATTTGTTAGGAAAATATCTTTACTCCTGCCCTAAGAAGCACTGTGCCATCATGAAAAAAGAAAGCATTTATCTCTTTCCAGTCAAATGAGGAGCGCCCCTACAATCTGATCTTGCTAAGACTTCAAAGCCTTGAGGATTATAATTATGCTTTCCTGGCAGCAGCAGCTGCTGTCTCCTCATACCATTGCCCTCATTTCTGTTAAGGATATCTATTAGTGGAGCACTCTGGCATCAGGCAAGCTGGATGCTGGTGGTCAGGCAACTGATTGGAATCGTAGCCCAGCTGCACATGGGACTACTCAAAACACTAAGATCCAAACACTCACCTGTTGGCCTGAAGCCCATGATACAGCCTCTTGAAATGGTCTGTAGGGCTTAATCCTAGCTCCCTGGCTTGACATATACTGTGTTTCTTCCCTGGTGCAGTTGCCAGCTTTCCCTTCCTATCAGCCCATCAATTTCCTATGTGACCTTTTTTCCCCAGAGAAATTTATTCTGTGTTTCCTAAAAGGCTTCATATATCATAAGGCTAGCATTGTCTAATCAGACTGGTAAGCCTTCCCTATGAGGGACTGGAGACAGCAACAGAGATACCAAAATCTACAGTTCTTTGCACTGGAGTTTACACAGTGTTTTGTACACATGCCCACACACAGGAGACACATATCCTTCAGGTATGGTGTCTGTATCTAAAATTTACTGGCCTGTACCCATCCACTTCAGGCTTCTGATTTATGGGATAGGACAATCAAGCTTCCACCCATGTACCTGCAGGCTGCCTGGGTCAGAGATTTATTTGCAGAAAAGGAGTAGAATCTCTCTTCCAAGTGTCTACAAACAGCCAGCACAGCACAAAAAACAGTATGCTGGAAGTGAAGAAAATTTAATTGAAGAAACCTAGAGAAGTGCTGATTTGGCTGTCGTTCTCCATAACTGCATCAACCTTCTTGAAGCACCTAGGGAATTTTCATTGCTCTCCTAAGAGAAATATCCCCCACAATCCAGTGCCCAGTTACCCCCAGTCTTTTCCTCTGACAAGCAGGAGTTCTGCTTCATTTCTCATGTTGTGAACCAGAAATGGCCTTTAAAGTTGTGTGCATGCCTCTGAGTACTCAGAGAAGTAGACTTCCCATCTCACAGGCTGAATACCATACGGACCCAGAGGAGAGGGGTTCATCCACGATACTTGGCAGGGTGTAATAGCATCACTTGTTTGGTGGAATTTCCTAGCTGCAATCTTACAGCCAAAACAAAACCAAATGAGCAAGTTTTACTACGCAATCATGCAGATTACTTGCAGGAATTTTAGCTTTTGGATTTTTTTTTTTTTTTTTTTTTACATTAGGAATACTGAGATTGGTTTTCAGCATATTGGTCTTTCTTCCTATGTAAGCTCCAAAGGCCCCACCCATGAGGATATTTTATCTATATATGCACTATATATACAGTGTGCATATATATCTATATGTGTATATGCTAAAGTAATAAATGACCAATATCAGCAGTAGCCCCTATCATCCAATCACATGTTTACACAGAAATTCATGCCTTCATCTAACCCTGGCAT